TCTTTCATTCCCCTGTGCCTTCTTTCCTTTGGAGTGGAAACTGAAAAAAATGAAATTCTCCAATTCCCAACCTCCATCTGATAGAGTTCTGGCTAATAAGATAGAGGTAGAAGTTCCTGGCTTAACTCATATAGTTTTTGTCCTTCCCACCTTCTTCCTGGAATGTAGAAAGGACACTGAATTGCAGCAGCCATCCATGATGATGAGAACCAAATATGCATCATAAAGACGAAAGAGGTAAGAAGAATAGGTTCTTAATGACACCATAGAGTAAGAGTGTCTTCCCTGGACTGAGTGACATAAGTCTGTCATGTTAACCAAGCTTTCTGTCATTCCAAGCAAAATGATTTCTTTAAAAAAAAAGAATTATATTTATTGGAGTGACATTGGCTAATTATTCCTAGCAGAATGTTTTCGTAACTGATACAATGTATATTAAATATCTAAATGGTGATAATGAGTAGGCAGTTTGACCTATAATCTGAAGATCAGAGAAGAGGTTAGGTCTGAAGATATATGCCAGGACATTGTCAGCATGTACATATTACTAAGTGCTGTGGGGCTGGCTGGATAAACTCACAGGGTGAGTGAGTATAGAAAATGAAGGGAAGAACTCTGAATGGTGAGCCTGTAGCACCTTGGGATCAGAGGTCAGGAAGAGAGGAGAATCGAAAAGGAGATGGAGAAGGCATGGCCAATGAGAGAGAGGCCATACAGGTGGTATCCTAGCAGCCACTTGAAGAATATCTTTCAAGTAGAGACTGATGAACTATGTCAGATGTTAATGAGAGATGAAGTAAAATGCATCAGTGGACTTGGAAATACAGAGCTCATTGGTGACCTTGACACTAGCATTTTCAATGTGATATGCAGGAGCTACAATTCTTATTGTGTGCTTACCATGCCAAGACTCTGATGGGACCTATGCTTATCTGAAGCAGTCCAGTGCATTACCTCCTTCTTATTAAAATGAAGAAGCAGGAAACCAAGATGGCAGCATAGGTAAACACTGGAAATTACTGCCTCCCACAACAAATTCAAAAATACAACTAAAAGACAAAACGGACATCATCCAGAACTACAGGAAGGTGGGATGAATGGAAATTCTACATCTAGAAGGAAAGAGAAAAGCACACTGAGACTCAGAGGAGCTGCGGAGGTGGAGTGCAGAGGTACTGAGACTCGAGCGCACGTGGCAAGGGCTGGCGACTGAGAGCGAGGCTGTCTTTTTGAACCAGGAGGGAGACATAAGCCGACTTCTCTGAACTCCAGTTCCAGGTGAGTCTCTGGGGACCTAGACTCATACGGGGAGAAATGGACTGTCTGGCAGCCGGCAGAACTTGGAACTTGAGGGCAGCTTTCTCTCAAAGGTGCTTGCAGCAATTACTGGGACACTGAGACGTGGGGCCCCTTAGGGCAGGGCTGAGGATCAGCCATAGCTGCTTGCTCCGCCCTGTTGTTCCCGTAAGACCCTGCCCCACCCAAGCTGCAGTAGAGGCTTTTGCATATGAATGCCCTGGCCCCTTGCAATCTGAAAATTACCTAACAAACTGCAGCTGGGCCAGACAGACCCAGAACTTCCAAGAGAAGGCCCAAGGCCCCACAGCAGCTTGCATCGCTTCACAGCTGGGACTCATTTGGGCACCTCCAAACCCCAAACAAGGAAGGGGAATCTGCAGTCC